AGAGCGGCACAGTCTGAAGGTAGGGACAGGGCCCTGGACCCTCTGTTCCCACCCGCACCCCTCTTCCATGCCCTCCAGCCTGGTTTTCTTGCCAGTGGAGGTTTTTAGGCTAATGGGTTGTGGGTGTTTTGGTTTTTTATGTCCTGCTTCCAGCATAGCACAGTACAGCTGTTCAAGCATGTGCTTAGGCTTGTGCATTGACACCATCAAGCCTGTTTTAATGTTTAAACGTTTTACAATGGCTGGGTTGAAAAACTGAAAAACTACCTTGGGGTAGAAACCAACCACCTTTCTTTGTTACAGCATCACACTCATTTTTAAATCTGCTGTCAGGTTTGATTGAGCTGCAGTGGTGTGGGCTCTGGCAAGCACCACAGCAGGGGAGCTCCTATCAGCAGGTCTGGGCCCTTCACACCAGGAGGAGGAAAGGAACCCACTCCTGTAAGCGCTGCCCCCCATCCCCCAGAAAGGCAACCACACCAGCCACTGTGGTAAGTTTTTAATTGCACTGTGAGCAAACAGCACGTTAACAACAGGTCACAACAGAACTTGAACAAAACAAGTAGCAACAGAAAACAGAAGGAAGCGCTACAAACCAGCTTCTCTGCCTCCTACTAGCTATCCCTTCACTACTTCAGTGGTTCACTCCAGTGAAGTGGAGGCACTGGCCAAATACTTGAGGGTAAAAATAAAATTTAAAAAAAGGGGGGGCACGTTCCCTTAGACTGCCATCTCCTCCTCTCCTGAAAAGGGGAGACCACAGCCAGCACCAACCCAGAAGTCATTCTGCACCCACACCACTGCTGCATAACACCATTTCAGCACAGCAGAGACTCTGCAGCTACAGCAATTAGCAAAGGTTTTGGTTTCCCTGAAGCAGGTCAGCCTGGAGCTCCTCCGGAGCTCGTCTAGCTAGCCATCGCCTGTACCGACGCAAGTCAGCTGAAGCACAGCACATGTCTGGACCACACTGACACGGAAGCAGGTTTGGGACAGTGACAGCGTTACAGATGCAGCACTCAGTGCGGGAGCAGTTGGGTTCGACTCACTAATCAAACAAAACTACAGCGACATGCTCTAACCAGCCTGGTCTCCAGGGCGCAGGGGGTGCTGCACAGTGCTTCTTCAGGTCCCCTCGCCCTACTTCCCCGACAGCTGCTCGTAGAGCTTCGGCACATAGTCGTCCCACTCTGCCTGGTAGCAAGTGCCAGCCACTGGCACCCCCAGCTCGTACTTGCTGCGGAAAGCCGCCACCTTGAACTTCCCTCGTTTGTCACCAGAGCGATTACAGAGGATGGGCTCGTTGCAGGTCAGCTGCTTCGGCTGCTCGTATACCAGCCACACGTAGCGGTGCAGCCCTGTGGGGAGGACAGAGCATTACAAGTGCCAGTCCCCTGCAATTCCCAGGTGTAAGGTTTGCTCTGAAGCCACCCCAGGAGCACAGGGAAACGGCTGCCTGCACTCTCCAGGATCAGAAGGCTAAGTGCAATGGAGCTAAAGCAGCTCAGAGAAGATGCACTAGATAGGCCTGAATGGCTCGTGGCCTGCCTAGGCTAGCTTTCCCCCTGCCAGGCAACACTGCCTATTGACTGCGGGCAGAACAGCACAAGCCTGTCACCAGACAGCAAAGGGACAGTGGTGATGCCCAGCTATGGCTACGTGCAGCCGCAGGCAGCCCTGTGTGGGCCACTTCCACAGCGTGGCACATGCCAAGCAGGCAGACAGTTTTCTGCAGGCCTCCCCACCTGCCCCTGCACACCACATTTGATTACACACAGCTGCAGCCAGGTACAGACCTGTTCCTTTGGGAGGTCCAGAGCCGACGTAATCTGACAGCACAGTCCCACTCCCCACATCGTTGCCTTTCATGTTGGTCACCAGAAAGTGGTGCCATTCCCTGAAGGGAGAAGGCAAACAACAATCAGACTGCATCACAGCCCCAGCTAAGACCCTTCCTTACTCCAAGCTGCTGCTTTTCTGTAAGGCTGTCAGCACAGGGTCACCAGAGCTAACAGCTGCCGCTCCTGGTCTGCCAAACCCAGAAGGCACTGGTCCTGCAGGGAGTAGGTACAGCCTCCTTCAGGATGCAGAGCCCGTCAAAATCAGCTCCGTCATCCTGCCTTGCAGCTCCGAGAAACCCAGAGCCAGATCCCTAAGAGTGCGTACTCCACAGGCTTCCAAGCCCAATTTGAGAAAGGTGAGGTGATCCCAGGTTTAAGACTCCACTGCTAGCACAGACTCACACAACTCACTCAATTCCAACTCACACACACGTGCCATATTAAAGCAAGCAGCAGATGCTGTGCTTCTCCAAGCTACAACAGACCTCCAAATGCCCCTGGCAAAAGCAGCTGCTCCTCCCCACATTGTCCTTGTCTCAAGGAGAGCTGCAAGGACACTGTTTCTATCCCAAGCCACAGACTCACTGCTGCACCTTGAGCAGACCACATTCCCCACCTCCTTCTAAGCCTCTGCTCAGACCAAGACGGATGCTCCTTTTTCCCCAGACAAGCTAGGGAGTTACCCACCCCCATTACCTGAACTTTGGGTCCTTCCTACTGGGAGCATCTGGGTCTGTGAGAACCAGGGTATAGAGCTTCTGGGGATCGCAGCCATCCCATTCAATGCTGGTGGGGCGATGCTGGACCTGGAGCAATGACAGCGTTAGCACAAGCAACCAGCCCTGCTGCCTGCACCACGCAGTTTGCACCAGCCAGCAGCACTGCACATGGAGGCCACGTGTGACCAACGAAGGCAACGACACCCGAGGAGTTCAAGGCCATTCATGCCAGCTCACGCCCAGCCTACAAGAGCCGCCGGGATTTCTCCTGCGGTATGGAGCCAGGCCTGACCGCACCACTCCCGTGCAAGAGTCGGCAGCAAAGCGAGGCACGTCTCCCTCCACCCCGCACCCGGAGAGGCTCCGATGGAGGCTGCCAGCAC